AGTGGGGCTTTGGTGCTCACTGAGTCTGCCCCCTGAGTGTGTCCCTTATGGATCTGAGGAGTTATAATTGGATGGTCCCACTCTGACCACTGGGTACACTGGCTCTTGGATCTAAGGAGGTGCTAATCTAGCCTCTGCCTGAGGCTACCCTGCAGAAGCCAGCTGTAAAGCAATGCAAGTTGCCCTGGGGCCTTGGGCAGCTGCAGTTTGTTAAGTAATTTTCAGATTACAAAGGGCCGGGCCTTTCATATGCAAAAGCCTCCGTGCACAGCTTGGGTGGGGTGGAGCCCCAGGGGAGATCGAGTAGTATGGCTGCTCTCAGTCCTGTCCTCAAAGGCCCCGGCAATCGCTGCGAGTGCCTCTGAGAGAAAGCTGCCCTCAAGTTCCGACCAATGCCAGACAGTCCCGTTTCTCCTGTATGAGTCTGGGTCCCCAGAGACTCGCCTGGAACTGTAGCTCAGAGCCTGAGACTCCTTCCCAATTGGAAAAGACAATTGTGACCTCAGCCGCCAGGCCTCTCCACATGCACCTCAGCACCTTTGTATTTTACTTCCACACCACACCTCCTCTGAGTCTCGGTATGCTTTTCTCTTTCCTTCTAGTTGTAGAATTTCCACTCAGCCAGCCTTCCTGTGATTCTGGATGATGTCCGTTCCGTCTTTTAGTTGTATTTTTGAAGTGGTTGTGCAAGGCAGAAATCTCCGGTGTTTATCTATGCCACCATCTTGGTTTTTTCCAATAAATCTTCTTTTAAATAATTCTACAGAATTGTGTGTGTGTGTGTGTGTGTGTGTGTGTGTGTGTGTGTGTGTGTGTTTTAAGGATATTCATATGTTAACATTTGGAAGGAAAATGATGAGTTGAAATGAATGGGGAAAGTTCTGACTGGCTCCTTCATTTGCTTTAACTAAGGTAGAGACATCTGACCTGGCCACCGCAAGCCAAAATAGTAAAAGTAAAGTTAGTTGATCTTCAATGGTACCCCAGCCCATTTTCTTCCCTTTCATTTATTTTCTCCCACCCCCCCACCCCCACCCCCACTTATTCCCCATCACTTCCCTGTGGCCCTACCTCTGGACAAAATCTCTTTCCCAAATCAGAATCCACCTTTGGGCTGTATTGTCACTGTGTCATTGGTGGTGTTTGCTGACCCTCAGAATCCACTGAGCAGTCGCTGTGGCTCAGGCTCTGTCAGTGGAGCTGTAGAGTCATGCCCCATTAGCTACTGCTCCTGGGAAGCAAGTCCCAGCCCTGCTCAGGCATCTTCATGGTCTCCCATGAGCTGCAGGCAGCCTGGTACAGGGAAAGACCAGCAGTTTGGAATCAGGCAGGATTGACTGACACTCTGCTTTGCAGTTTACTCTGTGTGAGATTCTGAGCAATTTCGCCAAGTTTCTAAGCCTCCCTTTCCTCTTGGTGAAATGGTTGTTAAGAGTTCCAGCTTTGTAAGTGTGATGTGACTAAGGTTGTTTTCCGTTTGGGTTAGTTTCCTGTGGCTGCTGTAACAAATCACCACAATGTAGTGGCCTAAATAATACGACGTTGTTCTTGTAAAAGTCTGGAGGTTAGAAGCTTAACATGGGTGTTACTGGGCTAATATCAAGGTGATGGCAAAGCCATATTCCTTCTGGAGCCTCCAGGGGAGAATCACTTCTTTGTTTTTCCAGCTGTTAGAGGCCGCCTGTACTCCTCCCATCCCTCCAAGCTCTGCTTCCATCATCATATGCTTTTCCTTGACCCTCTTATATACAAGGACCATTGTGATTTCATCGTGCCCACTCAGATAACCCAGAATAATCTCATCTCAAAATCCATAATTACATCGGTAAAGTCCCTGTTGCCATGAAAGGTGACCTATTCCCAGATTCTGGGCTTTAGAACATGGATCTCTTTGGGGAAGGAGGGCATGAGTTGGCCTACCACACTTTCCTCACCGATTCCTTAACCCCCTGATGTTCCCCAACCTGGACAGAAGCCTCTCTTTCCTGTTTGAGTCTCTCATGGCTCCTACTCTTGCCTCCACACTTCCAGCCATCACCTTCTCTTTTTCTTCCAGTCCAAATCCTGACTAAATCCCATTGGGTAAAAATAAATAAATAAATAAATCCCATTGAGTCAAAATAAATAAACAAGCAAACAAATAAATCCCATTGGGTATAGTAGCTCACCATTCATTTGGCTCACACTCTGCCTTCCTGGCATATATTTGTGGCACTCAGGCACTGAATGTATGTTGAATGAATAAATCTCCGTTACCATACCATAAGCTAAAAGAATATAAATAAATCATGGAAATGTGCAGCATAGGGAATGTAGTCAATCCTGCAGGTCTAGAAAAAAAGGGGAGGTTTTGTAATGCAGGTGAAGGGGACACTGGAGAAAGCTTGAATCATAAGCAAAACCACTGGTGATGGGGACGAGGCAGAGTTGGGCCAGTTTACAACGGAAGAAAAGATCAGCAGGATTAGGAAGGGCACAGAGTGCAAAAGAGACTTGAAGGACTGGGAAGAAGCCTTACAAAAACTAACAAAGGTGCAAGTATTTTTGCAAAAGGGTCCCACCTTATGATTAAGATGCACAAATATTGTCCTAGCTGGTTTGGCTCAGTGGATAGAGCATTGGCCTACAGACTGAAGGGTCTTGGGTTCAATTCTGGTCAAGGGCACATGCTTGGGTTGTAAGCTTGATCCCTAGTGGGGGACGGTGGAGGCAGCCGATCAATGATTCTCTCTCATCATTGATGTTTCTATCTCTCACTCCCTCTCCCTTCCTCTCTGAAATCAATAAAAAATATATATTTTTTAAAAAACACTTTTTTTAAAAAAAGATGCACAAATATTTATAAAAACATAAAGATGCGCCATTGTTAAAGAAATTATTCTAAACAGAATAATCAACCCCAAATCATTCTATGCATAAGTATTAGTGCATTTTACTTTGGTCACAAAGATTACTTTTTAAAATATATAAAATTTTAAACATAGATTTCCCATGTGATCCAGCAACCCCAAATCTGAGTGTATACCCAAAAAAATTGAAAGCAGAGATTCAAGCACATATTGGTGCACCCATGTTCACAGCAGTTTTAATCACAACAGTCAAAAGGGAGAAACAACCCAAATGTCCACTGAAAAGTAAGTGACTAATCAAAACATATGTGCATACAGTGGAATACTGTTTAGCCTTACCAAGGAAGGGAATTCTGAGACATGCTACAACATGGATGAACCTTGAGGACATTATACCAAGAGTCACCAAAGGACTGATACTGTATGATCCACTTATGATGTCCCTAGAGTGAAAACCATGAAACAGAAAGTAGACTGGTAGTGGTTGCCAGGGGCTGAGGGAGGAGAAAATGAAGAGTTAGTGTTTGGTGGGAGACAGTTTCACTTTGGGAAGATGGAAGAATTCTGGAGCGAGGTGGTGGGGATGGCTGCACAACAGTGTGAAGGTATTTAATGCCACAGAACTGGACACTGAAATGTTATGTGTAAATTGTCCTACCATTTTTTAAAAAATAATGAAAAGGTAGCTGAAAATATCATCAGGTTATCTATATCTATTTATATTAAAACCCTGGGTGCAAGCGGCGGCTCTGGAGCTGGCTGCGGGTGCAAGCGGGGCCGGCGCTGGCAGTGGGTGTGAACAGCAGCTCTGGCACTGACAGCGGGTGCGAGAGCCGGGCAGATCCACAGCGCGTGGGAGCAAAGAATTTTCAGTAACCACCAGAGGCTCATCCTGATGACAGCGACCGGCGCTCCTCCTTGGTCTGGCACCCCCGCTCTCCTGCTCCACCATCCCGCCATGCCCAACACTCGCCATGTTCCATGCATGCCCCCTGGTGGTCAGCGCACATCATAGTGACCAGTTCGGTTGTTCTGCCATTTGGACTATTTGCATATTAGCCTTTTATTATATAGGATTTTTTTTGGTTAATCCTCTTCTGAGGATATTTTTCCATTGATTTTTAGCGAAAGTGGAAGACAGAGGAAAAGTCAGAGAGAACCATCGATGTGAGAGAAACACACCGATTGGTTGCCTCCTGCATACACCCTGACCAAGGCCTCGGCCAGGGAGGAGCCTGCAACAAAGGTAAGTGCCCTTGATCAGAATCAAACCCGGAACCCTTTGTTCCACAGGCCAACACTCTTTCCACTGGGCCAAACTGGCTCGGGCTCGGGCATATTTTTAAATGGAGGGTATTCTTAAGTCTGCAGATCCTTATTTGGGAGAAGGCAATGGTTAGGAGAGGGGGAATCCAAAGAGGAGAGGAGCTCTGTCTGATGTCCCATAACCCCACCACCCCAGGGAAGTGAGTGAGTCCTCTAAAAGTCGGACTATGCTCATGGCAGCCCAGAACCAACTTCTAAACTTTCAGGAATTTTGTGAATCGGTTGTTAAACTGTTGGTAGCTTGAAACCAGACACGATGACAGTATTTGTATCACGGAAGTCTACACACTCTACAAATGTTACAAATCAGGACTTCCCACCACCACCTGCTAACACTGTCTGTTAAACGTTTACGTGTGATGAACAACATAAGCTGATGAACAAAAATAGATCCAGAGACATAGAAGCATTGAACAGACCGTCAAATCCCAGAGGGAAAGCAGGGGAGGGGCGGGGTAAGAGATTAACCATAGGACTTGTATGCATGCATAGAAGCATAACCAATGAACACAGACAGTAGTGGGGTGAGGGCCTGTGCTGGAGGGTGGGAGCGGGCGGGGAGAGGTCAATGGGGGGAAAAGGAGGCATATGTAATACTTTCAACAATAAAGAATTTAAATTTATAGGGGAGGGTGGGGATAGGGGGAGAGATCAACCAAAGAACTTGTATGCATGCATATAAGCCTAACCAATGGACACAGACTCCAGGGAGGGGTGAGGGCATGAGTTGAGGGGAGAGGGAGGAGCAATGGGGGGATAAGAACACGTGTAATACCTTAGTCAATAAAGAAATAAATTATTTAATTTTTTTTAAATAACAAAAAATAATGAGATTTTTATCTCTTTGGCAGTCTTTTAATAAAATAAAATGAAAGTGAGTTCATTTTAATTGATGAAAGAAACATGGATTCATCAAGTTGGAAAGGCAAATAAACACTGTTTGGGGCAAAAAAAAAAAATTTAAATTTAAAAAAGTGTTTACATGTGTACCACTGCCTCTAACTTCCTATCTTCTCCCTCCATTTCCACGGGAAAGGCAGCGTGAAAGGAAGCTTTTCCCCGGGAGCTGCTCCAGGCGGGGCACCTGCAGCCACTCCCAGGACCAGCAGGGCCGGGCCCAGGACCCTTCCGTCACACTCCACCCGATGGACCCAGATCTCCAGACAGACCTCACTTCCCTGCCTGACACTTCTCGTCCCCGGTGCCCAGCCTGGATCAGCCCAGGCCCCCAGGTGCTGAGCTGGAACTGCCAGGTGTGTCAGTGTGGGGCCCGTAGGCCCTGACCGTGGCCACACTGGGGAGAACTCACACCCCAGTCCTCATGCGGCCGGATGGGGAAGGAATTTCCCCTCCACCCTCCAGTGGGAAAACCACGGGAGAAACATCCAGGTCTTCTCTGATGGGTGCGTTTGGCATAAAAAATCAAGGGTACCCAGGTGAGCCCTCTCTTCTCTCTCCTGGCTCTGCCCACCACAGAGCAGGCGCGCCGCCGAGGGGGCAGCTGGTGAGCCCATAAAGCCCTCCTACCCAGCTCAGATCAGAAGTAACGCTCATCTTGTGGCTGGTGCCCATGATCAGCCTCAGTCTGCCACCTGCACCTTTCAAGTGGTTCAGACTCAAAAGGCAGGAAAAGGAGCCCCTAAAACCTAAGCCATCTGTGAGGCCCCACCAGCCTCACCCCTTCACATCCTATTGCTCGCCCCTTGTTCCCCCAACCACACGGACCTTCCTCCAGTTCCTGGAAAATGCCAAGTTCACCCCCAGCTCAGCATCTTTGCCTTTTTCATCTTCCTCGGTGCTTCCCAGGGCTGGTTCCTCCTCACCTCTCAGGTCTTGGCTCAGAGGCCCACTCTACGAAACATACGCCTCCATCATATCACCCTGGTGTATTGTCTGGGTTTCTGAAACTGTGATGTGCTCACCTGTTTACCACCCTGTCCCCTCAGGTCTTATCCGTTTGGTTCAGTGCTGTGACCTAGCACCTAGGACAACGCCTGCACATCGCACAGGCAGAAATGTGTGTTGAATAAACAGACTGTTTTGGGGACAAGGGAAAATGAGTATTTTTCTTCATTTTGTTTTGGGGGGTTTTTTAATCCTCACCCAAGGATATTTTTCCATTGGTTTTCAGAAAGAATGGAAGAGAGAGGGAAAGAGAGAGAAATATCAATGTGAGAGAAGCACATCGATTGGTTGCCTCCTGCACACAGTCTGACCAGGGCCTGGCGGGGGAGGGGGAGGGGCAAAGGAGGGTCTGGAGGAGCCTGTAACTAGAGTGCTTGGCCTGGATCAAATCTGGGACCCTTTGTCCACAGGCCAATGCTCTAGCCACTGAGCCAAACCAGCTAGGGCAAGTGTTTTTCTTTAATAGCAAAATATAGATTTTGAAAATACAAAAAAAAAATACAGTTTAGAACCTTCATTAACATTTTGATCACAAAAGACCAGTCACACCTGCACTTCCCGTGTCTTCTCTGTGCATGTAGGTATAATCAGTGGTGTGGGGTGCACATGCAGACCGTCCTTCCAGGCTTCCTAAGGGCCCTGGCTTCTCAGGACCCCCTGACTCCTAACCACACTCCTGTGCGCCCACCCTGTTTCTGAGGACCGCCCTGAGAATGCCCCTTCACGGAAGACCTCTGGGGCTCAGTAAAGTGTAAGGCTTTGCAGCGTAAGCATGAGGTAACGATGGCCTTCCCATTTCCAGATGTGGGGCCCAGACTGGCCGATGTCAGAAGCCACACACTGACCATTCCAATTGTCTGGCAGTGCAAGGCCTCGCTTCTCTCTACCTTTGGCCTGCGGGCCGTCTAGCCTAATGCCCTGCCCTCTGCAAGGTGCTTGCTCACTAATGAAAACTGAGACGGGTCTCAGAGCCAGGTGGCGGGTCATACCCACCAGTCCGCAGACTCTTTGGGGCCGGCCCTGAGGATGACCAGACAGCGGGGCAGGCCCTGACACAGGATCCTCTCCGCCTCCTGACCCTCCCACCCCAGCCCCTGCAGCTCAAGGACCCTAAGCCTGGGCATGGTGCGGCAGGAGGAGAGTATTTCAGCCGGGGAGAGTGTTTCCAGGGCGACGTGCGGGGCCTGCAGGCACAGGCTCTCCAGCGCCGGCATTCCCTCCAGCACAGACAGGCCGGCGGCTGAGAGACCCGTGGCCGTGAGCCGGACCTTCCGCACATCCCGGAGGTGGCGGCTGATGGCCAGGAGGGTGCTGTCGGCCGAGAGGGCACAGCCCAGCACCTCCAGCCTCCGCAGGGAGCTCAGCTCCTGCAGGCTGGCATCCAGCCCGGCCTCAGTCACCCGGTAGGCACCGCCCAGCACCAGTGAGCGCAGGGCGCGGAAGGACGTCAGGCCCCGCAGGTGCTCGTCCCGAAAGGCAGGGACGCGGTCCAGCACCAGGGACTCGAGCAGGGGCAGCACAGGGGGGTCCCGCCCCTTGAGGATCCAGGCCATGGGAATCTCACAGCTGTGCAGCTCCAGCGTCCTCAGGGTGCAAGGCAGGCTGGTGACTGGCACCACGCTCAGGTCAGCCCCGTGCAGGCAGAGACGCTGGAGGTTGGGGCACTTCTGGCCCAGGGCCCTCATCAGGGCTGGGGACAACTGGGGAGCCTGGGAGCCTGCGGACAGGTAGCCACACAGCCGCAGGGAATGGAGTCTGGATGCCATGTACCGCCGAAGGAGGTGCCACATGACTTTAGGCCGCATCTGTAAGAGCCAAAGATAGGGGTGAGGAGGTGAGAGACACAGGCGATCGTTCAAGGTCCCCGCCTGCCTGGAGTCAGACAAGCTCCAGCTGGGGCTCTCCTGCTCCCCTAGAATTGTCCTTCCACCACCAGCCTCACCTCACCAGACACCCCTCCGGGGGGAACAAAACAGTTTAACTCCACCACTTTGACTCCCAGAACTGAACAAAAGCAGTGAAGGAAAGAGAAGATCATCACACATCTGTCTTTAGCAACAGAGAGGATTCTCATTAGGTTCTGGAGCAAGTAAAACAGCAAAGCAACCTCCCGGATTTTTATCCCTTTTTTAATGACCACCATGGAAAGAAGTAAGCAATGTAAAATAAAACTGAAAAAGGCTCCAACTGCCTAGGTTTTAAAAAACAAAACAAAACGCCATAGCCTGATAATAGCGAAAGCTGTCAAAAATTTATCCCAGGAAGTTAGACTTAGTAGAAAACAAACCGATAGGGGCCGGATCAGGCTGGTTGGCTGCTGCAGTGCGTGTCATAGCCACCCCTCATTCTGCCGTTCTGGTCGCTGGGCTTTTATTATATAGATCTCTCTCTCTCTCTCTCTCTCTCTCTCTCAAATCAATCTTTAAAAAATAGTGTGTGAATAAAGCTCATTGTGGGTGGATACAAGTAAAATAGCATTTAATTATCTAAAGAGTAGCAATAGCATTATCTAAACTTTAGAAACACATTAACAATACCGTATGTTGCTAATGAGCACACACATAGGAAATGAATAAAAACGCCAAAGGAAGGCCACGATTCCATTTTAGAATAGTGGTTACCTTCGAGGAGGGTTTCAAAAAGTACAGGAAACATATCAATAAAAGTTGTGTGTGTGTGTGTGTGTGTGTGTGTGTGTGTGTGTCACATGATCGGTAGTAAATAGGGCCAAAGCCTAAAACAGGTTAAATCTAGGTGGTGAGTACCTATTTATCTGAAACCATGTTATCCTCTACACATTTCTATATATTTGAAATAGTTCATAATCAAAACAAGAAAGTAAAATGCAAATGGCAGAAAGTGGAAATAGTTTGTTTGCACTACTCGGGAAGTTAATTCTGTTGACTGTGGAAAATGATTTCCCCGTGAAGACTCGGTAATAATAACCCTAAGTGATCTGGTCGCCAGCCAGCATTGATCGTACGCCGACTGACACTCCGACACTGAGCCCAACCCCGCGCTGTCCGGCTGTTTACATTTCGGAGAGGGGGGAACAGGCCGGAGGGCGCAGAGGAGTGGGGTGCGCCCCCGGCGCCTCGGCTGAACCGGCCCAGGCCCGCCCGGCCTACGCACTCACCCTGCAGACGGTCAGGTCGACGTGCCGCCACAGCCACCGGTCGCCCACCAGCCTCTTCCAACGGTGACAGACCCTGAGGGGGGGGACCGCAGTGAGAGCAACCCGACCCGGCCTGGCCCTTCGCCCCCGCCCCCGCCCCCGCCCCGCCCCGGCCCCACCGCGGGGCGAGGCCGCACCTGGAGAGGCGAATCCGGTCCCGCACCGGGAGGTAAGAGAAGATCTCCAATATGACCGAGTCCGGCAGGTCCGAAAGGGTGGCCATGACCCCGCCGACTCGCATTTCCCCTTCGGGGTAAGGGAACTCCGGTACTCGCCCCGGGGGCGCCCCCGGAGGCGGGGGAGTGGGGTGCCAGCTGGGAGGTAGCCACGGCTCCGGTAGCCGGTGGAGAGTGTTAGCTTTCCTTCTGAGCGAACGCGGGGGAGTCCCTGCCGGAGATCTGCCCCGGCCGCCAAAGAGCCTTCAATTTCAAACCAGAAGTAAGCTGGACTGCGAGGCTGGGCCGCGATGACGTAAGGGGGCATGGTTAGGGCGGTGATGATGGGCGGGGGCGGGGACCAATCCGGAAGGCGTGGTTAGGGCGGTGAAGATGGGCGGGGGCGGGGACCAATCCGGAAGGCGTGGTTAGGGCGGTGATGATGGGCGGGGGCGGGGACCAATCCGGACGGCGTGGTTAGGGCGGTGATCATGATCGGGGGCGGGGACCAATCCAGAAGGCGTGGTTAGGACGGTGACGATGGGCGAGGGCGGGGACCAATCCGGAAGGCGTGGTTAGGGCGGTGATCATGATCGGGGGCGGGGACCAATCCGGAAGGCGTGGTTAGGGCGGTGACGATGGGCGGTGACGGGGACCAATCCGAAAGGCGTGGTTAGGGCGGTGACGATGAGCGAGGGCGGGGACCAATCCGGAAGGCGTGGTAGGCGGTGACGATGGTCGGGGGCGGGGCGGGGCGGGGCGGGGTGGGGACCACGCCCGGAAGGCGTGACTGGAGCTGTGACGGGACGGGGAGCGGAGCCGGGGCGGTGATGAGGCCGAAGCCGGGGTTGGCGGGCCTGGACCGAAAGGCTGGCTGAGGCCAGGGAGCAGATCGCGAGTCTTGGAAGGCGGGGCTGGGAAACAAGGTCCAGCTGGGAGGCCAGGCTGCGGCGGTGAGGACCCCTGGCGCGGGGTTGGGGGCAGAGGACCTGGCGGAGCGCGAGGCTTCCACTTTTTAATACAGCAATGCTTTTTGATGCATATGCACGAGGATACATTTGTTGAAGTGGAGTAACTTGTTAAGAGGCGGGTGAAGTCCTGGCCGGTTTGCACGGTGGATAGAGCGTGGGCCCTTGGGCACGTAGCCAGTAAATTCCGTGTTCGATTGCAGACCCCATCGCGGGTTCCACTCGCGTGTGCGGGAGGTAACCAATGCACATCTATGTTTCTCTGTCTCTCTCCCTCCCTTTCACTCTAAAAATCAATTTAAAATGTCCTCGGGTGAGGATTAACAGAAAAATAAAGAGCTCTCATAAAAAAAAAAAGGGCGTGTTGAAATTTCTTTTCGATTGATAGTGACAAATTGTTCTCACAGAGGCTGAGTTGACAATCCCATCAAATATCACTCATTTTTAAAATAGCAATTCATAAGGAAAGTAAAATTTATTGAAACATTTTCATATGAGTGTTCAGGTTGTTTCCAGATTTACCACAATTATTGGAGTTAAGGTTTCTTTTTTATATATGTATGTACGTTTGTACATGTATATGAACGTATATGTATTGTAGGGGTTCAGAACGAGTCACCTCAAGATGTGCCTCTGAGGTATGGAGATTGTTTTGAGCTAAAGGCAACTTAAGCCTCCAGCGCACAAGAAACTTGTGTTCCTCCCTTGACTGCCTATGACTTGAATTAGGGGGCTTGTGTATAATAAGAAATTGAGGTAACTTCGCCTGCTTGTAGGACAGGGCAAACTTCTATTTGTTAAGCATCTGCTCTTCCATCATCCTGAAAAGACCTTGAAGCCCCTACGGCACCTCACCTCATCCCTAGCGTGGACTGTCTATTCTCATTTTTCCTTTGTCTCTGAATCTCATACATTTGGGGTCTCATGTATGCAGGTACATATGTATGCAACTGATAGAAAGTGGAAATAGTGGCAATAGTTGGGGGTGGGGCAGGAACCTGGACCAAACTCAAAAGACGTTTGGTTATTTTCTCCTGTTAATCTGATGCCCATTATTAAACCAGCTGAAAGAACCTTGTAGAGGAAAATTTCTTCCTCCCCCACAGTGTGTGTGTGTGTGTGTGTGTGTGTGTGTGTGTGTGTATACACCTTCTGTGTTTTTATTTGTATAAGATAAATAACCAGGAGTCACTTTGATGAATCAAAGGTCAAATTAAGTTTAGTTTTGCCGAAGCCGGTTTGGCGAAGTGGATAGAGCGTCGGCCTGCGGACTGAAGGGTCCTGGGTTCGATTCCGGTCAAGGGCATGTACCCGAGTTGCAGGCACACCCCAGTGGGAGATGTGCAGGAGGCAGCTGATCGATGTTTCTGACTCTCTATCTCTCTCCCTTCCTCTCTGTAAAAAATCAATAAAATATATTTTTAAAGAGAGCAACTAAGATGGCGGCATAGGTAAACACTGGGAAATTATTGCCTCACACAACAATTGAAAATTACCCCAAAGGACTGAGCAAACATCATCCAGAACAACAGGAAGGCTGGCTGAGTGTAAAGTCCACAACTAGAAGGAAAGAAAAGCACGCTGAGAGCCAGAGGCGCTGCGGAGGTGAAGTGCAGAGGTACGGCGGCGCGCGAGGAAAGGGGGTGGCGCCTGAGGACGCGGCTGTCTTTTTGAATCACAAACTCCCCACGGCTCTGAACTCCGGTTCCGGGAAGTCTCTGGGGACCCAGGTCTCACACGGGGAGAAGCTGGTCTTTCCGGCAGCGGGCGAACTTGAGGGCGGCTTTCCCTCAGAGGTGCTTGCAGCCGTTACCGGAACACTGAGACGCGCGACTCCGGGCGGAGAATCGGCCATGGCCGCTTTCTCCGCCCTCTGACTCCCTGAGACCCCGCCCCACCCAGGCTGCCGCAGAGGCTTTTGCATGTGAATGTACCTAACTGCAGCCGAACCAGGCAGACCTGGAACTTCCAAGAGAAGGCCCAAGGCCCCGCAGCGGCTTGCATTGCTTCACAGCTGAGCCTCTTCGTGGCTCCTGCTGTGTGGCCTCAGGCAGAGGCTGAATTAGCACCTCCTTAGATCCAGGAGCCACTGTACCCAGTGGTCAGAGGGGGTCCATCCAGACTGCAACTCCTCAGATCCATAAGGGACGCACTCAGGGAGCAGACTCAGTGAGCACCAAAGCCCCACTGAAGCAAGTCTTGCCCCAGAAGGGTGTCTTCAGCACAGAAGTTCTCCCACTTTAGACACAGCTGATTCTCACAGCCAATTGGCCTGGAGGTCAATTCCTCCCAGTGATTCTACAACAACCAAGGCACCAAGAGTGCACCAAGAGTGTCCACCCCAGGTAACTGGGGAGGCTGAGCTACTGGGCCCTACAGGACACCTGGCGCACAGGGCCACTCTATCAACACAGGGAAGCTGCCAAAATGCGGAGACAAAGAAACAGGTCACAAATGGCAGAAATGGAGGAAAGCAAACGATTGGATATAGAGTTTAAGGCCACGGTTATAAGGTTTTTCAAGAATTTTATGGAAACCGCCGATAAATTTAATGAATCCCTCAATAAGTATAGGGAGACCATGGAGGACATGAAAAAGGACCAACTAGAAATTAAGCATACACTGACTGAAATAAAGAATAATTTACAGAGATCCAGCAGCAGAAAAGAGGATCCCAAGAATCAAGTCAAAGATTTGAAATACAAAGAAACAAAAAATACCCAACCGAAAAAGAAAAAAGAAAAGAGATTCCAAAAATATGAAGATAGTGTAAGGAACCTCTGGGACAACTTCAAGCGTACCAACATCAGAATTATAGGGGTACCAGAAGGAGAGAGAGGGCAAGATATTGAAAACCTTTTTGAAGAAATAATGACAGAAAACTTCCCCTACCTGGTGAAAGAAATGGACTTACAAGTCCAGGAAGCGCAGAGAACCCCAAACAAAAGGAATCCAAGGAGGACCACACCAAGACACATCATAATTAAAATGCCAAGAGCAAAAGATAAAGAGAGAATCTTAAAAGCAGCAAGAGAAAGACAGTCAGTTACCTACAAGGGAGTACCCATACGACTGTCAGCTGATTTCTCAACAGAAACCATGCAGGCCAGAAGAGACTGGCAAGAAATATTCAAAGTGATGAATAGCAAGAACCTGCAACCAAGATTACTTTATCCAGCAAAGCTATCATTCAGAATAGAAGGTCAGATAAAGAGCTTCACGGATAAGAAAAAGCTAAAGGAGTTCATCACCACCAAACCAGCATTATATGAAATGCTGAAAGGTATTCTTTAAGAAGAGGAAGAAGAAAAAGGAACTCTTACCATTTGCCACAGCATGGATGGAACTTGAGAGCGGATAAATACCACAGGATCTCACTCATTTGTGGAATATAATGAACAACATAAGCTGATGAACAAGGACTGATCCAGAGACGGAGAGGCATTGATTGGTCTGTCGGGACTTGGAGGGAAGGTAGGGGAGGGTGGGGGTAAGGGGGAAAGATCAACCAAAGGACTTATATGCAAGCATATAGGCCTAACCAATGGACATGGACAACGGGGGGGTGAGGGCATGAGCGGGGGTGGGGGGGGTGGGGGGTAGAGGGTAACGTGGGGACAAGGACACATATGTAATATCTTAATCAATAAAAAATATATTAAAAAAAAAGGAAATGTTAAAAAATATATATATATATATATATTTTTAAAAAATAAAAAAAAAAATAAGGTTTAGTTTTGAATAGGTTTTGCTAAATCACACCCTCAAGAACCTACAATGGCAATAAACAGGTTTTTAATACAATATGCACTAAAGCAGGAATTGGAGCAGTTGAAACTGTTGTCAAAAGAAATGCAAAACTCATTAAGATGGATACATTAAAATATATACATTAAATTTTGTGTCAATTATATTTCAATAAAGCTAAAAAATACATCTGTAACCCACACTTATCCATAAATAAGAAGTAAAACACTATGATTTTCACATATTAGATTAAGAGATGAAGCCAGGAAATACCCACACTGGCCTTGGTGTGAGGCGACAGACCCTCTCCACCAGTGCAGGCGGGCATAATTGACGCAAACTCTTTAAAGACAGTTTGGCAAAATTGTTGGACCCAATACTACTACTTCTAGGATCTCAAATTGTCAAAAAGAGTGAGGTGGGTCTTTCTGTGCTGGTTGGAACAACCTATAGGATATTGTTCGCTTTTTAAAAAAGCGTAGAGAACAGTGTATGTATGTGTGTGTGTGTGTGTGTGTGTGTGTGTGTGTGTGTGTGTATCTCCTATGTTTTTATTTGTATAAGAAAGATAAATAACCAGGAGTCACTTTGATGC